TTTACTGGGTGTCAATCTCTGGTATTGAGCTACTGGGTGTTATGTATCTCAGGTTTCCCTTAGCACATGGATACTTTCATGGAAAATTCGGCGCCATCGAACGTCTGAACTCATTGCGCGCGCTGACACCGCTACTTTGCCAGTCTCATAGAGACAAATGTTTTTGAAATCTCATGTCTTCTTTGTATATCGTTTTGTTTTGTAAATTTTATGTAACTATTTGATGTAAGGACAATAAACTGATTATCTATCTATCTTATTGCAAACCTGGTAATGAGCTTGCCTAGATTCTTTCCTTGAGGAGTCTCTGGATGACACCTCTATTAAACCTCTTTTAAAGGAAATGTGTTCGAGAAAAGAAAATAGAAAGAGATTAATTTGAAAAAGAAAAAAAGAATTTTAATAATAATAATCTTTGTATTGATCATACAAACATAAAAAAGAGAAAAAAAATCAAACACAAAAAAATTCAAACATAAAAAAAATTCAAACATAAAAGAAATTCACAAAAAAAATTCACACAAAAAAAAAAAAAAAAGGTCCACACACACATATTGATAAAGGTGGTTTAGGTGGTTCGTTGAGAATACCCTCTCATTTACCATTGGCATCCTTTGCTAGTTGGGCTCAAATCATCCCCGGCTATAATGTAGCAAAAGCATCCTCAGATGGATCTTTTCTACCTTCTCTTAATCTTCACGCTAATAGCATACTCCCTCGATTGCTAACATTCAATATAGGAGTCCCATAGTTTGCGGCTCATGGACATCACTTCTTGGCTGGAATTGAGCTAAAAACAACAGTTAGATGGAAATACAATCATTAAATGTATGTCTTACTGATTGACGTTTAGGTTGAAACGGGTCCTGTGGTACAGTAAGAGCATTATTAACTTGGGCGCTCCAATGTCCTCTTAAAATTGATGCCTGTGGCTGAGACAAGTCAGGTCTAATACACTTTGGTCCAGTTTTGCTGTTGTCAACAGAAAGGGATTTAGGCTGGTTCAAAGCGCCAGAAATAGGATTCAGGATTCCATGGACGGATGGATTGGGAAGGGCAGTAGTGAGATTAGTGGGAGCCATAAACGGTATAAACCTGTGGTTCTCAGGAGTCAATGACTGTACTGCAGGACTATTGGAAGAATTTGTTACTGGTGACTTGTCGTTAGACCGGTTGAGAGAATGATAACAGATATCACAGAAATGTGAAGGTGGGCCTGGTGAAATATTAGACATGGAAGGCAGATGGTACTTAGGCGATTTGGAACCGGGATGATCATTGCCAAAGAAAGGCCTCCCCTCTAGTTCTTCAACTGTGCGGTTTTCAGATTCTTGGGTAAAATTTGAACACGCATATGAACTTCTAGAGTGCGAGAAGCCAGATCTTGCAAAGATCTCTCCGGAAGTTCTCTGATCGCGTGTAGTACCAGGTGAAAGTTTGCCTTTGGCAGCAGGAGTGTTAGTAACATCAGATACCAACTGCGGATACTTGCTACCTTGATTGTTAATGTCTAATATAGAAGCCCCATACTGTTCTGTCTCAATGTCATCAGCCTCTTGTTGGCATTCGGCGACAATCGAGCGTAATTCAGCAACAAATTCTTCAAATGAAACTTTTCTCCTTTCTCTTGAAGTCGATGCCGCCAGGGTACCTTCACTCAATTCACCATCATTAGGAGTAGATAAAGCCAGGTCATTGACAGTAGCAGTCTTAGAACCTACAGATGCCAACTGTGGATACTCGCTACCTTGATTGTTAACGTCTAATATAGAAGCCCCATACTGTTCTGTCTCAATGTCATCAGCCTCTTGTTGGCATTCGGCGACAATCGAGCGTAATTCAGCAACAAATTCTTCAAATGAAACTTTTCTCCTTTCTCTTGAAGTCGATGCCGCCAGGGTACCTTCACTCAATTCACCATTATTAGGAGTAGATAAAACCAGGTCATTGACAGTAGCAGTCTCAGGACCTACATATGCCAACTGCGGATAATTGCTGCCTTGATCGTTTGTGTCTAATACAGGATTAGGATATGAGTTTGCTCCAAATTCAGTTAGCGTTTGTTGGGGTGTATCCAGGATTGTGAAAAAATCAGCAAAAAGCTCTGATGGATCTTCCCTTAAAGTCGGTGGTGGTGACTTATAACTATTTTTAGACAAATCAAACATAACCGATTTCAATAAAGCCTTGTTAGGTTTGCTCAAGGCATTAGAACTAGATTTCAGGATTCCACGGATAGTTGGATTGGCACAGGGAGTGCTTGAGTTAGTAGGAGCCATAAGTGGTAGTAATCTGTAGGTTTCAAGAGGCAATGGCTGTACTGTGGGACTATTAGTAGAAACCGCTACTGATAAAGTGGCATTAGACTGATTGAAAGAACAGTCGCTGGCTACATCAGAACATGAAGGGAGGTCTAGAGGAATATCAGACAAAAAGGAAAAACCAGAACTGAGCGAGTTGGACCCTCCGATGCCATTGTCAGAGATAAGTGACATTTCCTGTGGATCAATTTTGAAAGTCTCAGATTCTTTAATTGAATTTGAGGATACAGATGAACATCTGGAGCGCGAGAATCCGAATCTTGCAGTGGTGTTTTTGAAACCTTCTTGATCCCATCCAGTAGTGGATGAAAACTTACCATTAACCACAGCAACCTTAGGAGCATCACATTCCAACTGAAAATTGTTGTTACCTTGATTGTTAACTTCCAATATGGAAGCCTCATACAGTTTTGCCTCAGCTTCATCAGCCTCTCGTAGGCCCCTAGCCAGGTCTGGGTTCGATTCAGCAAGAGCAGCCTCAAGTGAAACTGACTTGGATCCCTCTACACTTGATAGTGGCAACACACCCTTTCTCAACTTACTGGATCGGGAAGTAGACGAAAGCTTGTCTTTGACAGCGGTAGCCTTAGGGGCACCACATTCCAACTGCACATTGTTGCTGTCATGGCTCTCAACATCCAATTTACGAATCATATATTTTTGTGTCTCATAGGAATTGTTTGTTTGTTGGAATTCATCTGGGGACGATTGTGACCCGTGGATTCGATCCTTAAATACGTGTTTTATTTGTCGGCACTTAGCCTGAATCAAAGTCTTTGATTCAGTAAGGGCATTCTTGACTTGAACTCTTCGAGATCCCCTTACAGTCAATGGCTGTGATTTAGACAAGTTAGGCCTAATAATATTTGGTCCCTCCTTTCTGTTACCAAGAGAAAAGGTTTTGGGCTGGTTCAAAGTACTAGAAGTAGGCTTCAGGTTGCCGTGGATGGGTGGATTTGCATGAGCATTGCTAGACTTTGTGGAAGTCATAAAACTCATCAATTTGTGCTTCTTCAAAGGCAGAGACTGTCCTGCAGGGCCATTAGTAGGAACCCCTGCTGGTGAGTTGGAATTTCCCACCACTGGCAGGCCTTGTCTGGCTGAAGAAGCCATAGGCATCATTGACGATGCAGTGTTAACCTTGGTTCTGGAATGGAACGGCATTTTGCTGTTCGATTACTGTAAAAGGAAATCATATAGTTAGTACAACATGTTATTGCAAACACCTAATAATCTTGCCTGGATTCTTTCTTTAGTAACTGGATGACACTTCTCTTAAACCTCTTTTATAAGAAATTCGTAAGGGAAGAAAACAGAAAGTAGAAAGATAGCTTGAGGAGATAAAATAAAATAGAAAAGAGGAAGAAAATCAAATTACGGGGGATTTCCACTCCTATTTATACTTTTTTTTTTGCCATAGCAAGTCCTTCGTTATCACAATTGGTATGAGTTCATTAGGCATCTTTTTAATATAAACCAACTGACTAGACAAAAAGAAAATATACATTATCATAATGATTGTAGGTAAAAAAGAAGGTATTGATATCAAATTCGCCATTAAAAAAAAGAAATATAGGCGCATGGCATGGATGACAGCTGCTATGTAGTAAACATGATCAAACTCGAAGACAAAAAAAAAGAAAGAAAGAAAAAAAAGAAAAAAAACAGAAAAAAAAGCAATTAAAATAAATAAAACTGAAATTTAATTGAAGATTCAACTAAATACAGAAGAGTTTTGATGTTACTAATATCAAGTAACGAGCCCCCATGTCACAAAAAACGTAAGATAACTTATAACCCTGCGAACGAGTGACCTTTTATAGATTTCATGATCATTTTATGGACTGAATGTCTGCTGATGTCAGGTTTAGAAAAGTATCAGACGGTCAATTGTCAGATATTATATTGTCAGGCAATTACTTGTCACTGGTAACATCGTCAGACGGTTAATTGTCAGTCGGTAATGCGTGAGGGGGTCATTTATGAGATGGTCATTTGTCAGACGTTTCTGTATCAGACGGTCATTTGTCAGACTTAATTGTCAGGCGGCCAATTGTCACTGATCACATCCTCCAGGTGGTCATTTGTCAGATAGTTAATCACCAAAAGGGTCATTCTCAGATGCCCAATTGTCACTGATCACGTCGTCAGATGGTCAACTGTCAGATATCACAT